TTGTAACTTAAAATAACCTGGCCCAAAGGTATTGTGATAACCTCAACCGTTCTTGCACAAAGTCATAAACCACTCATCCCGGGACTTCCCTGGTGGTCCAGTGGTTAAGACTCCGTGCTCCCAATGCAGAGGGCCTGGGCTTGATCCCTGGTCAGGGAACTAGATCCCACATGCCGCAACTAAGAGCCTGCATACCGCAACTAAAAAGATCCCGCACACCAAAACGAAGATCCCGCATGTGGCCACTAAGACCCAGTGCAGCCACATATATAAATATTAAAAAAGAACCAAAACACTCATCCCCGACAATGGCCACTCTGGCCTCTCTGGAAGAATCTGGCAGCATCAGAAAACAGTAACTACAAGGCATTGCCCCAGAACGGCCGCCATTGCCCCAGAATGGCTGCCATAGACTGAAAGTTTGTGTGTCCCCAAAATTCATATGTTGAAACTGAATCCCCAGTGTGATGGTACATGGAGGTGGGGCCTTTGGAAAGTGCTTAGGTCATGAGGGTGGAGCCCTCATGAATCAGATTAGTGCCCTTATAAAAAAAAAGACACAACAAGAAGATTGCCATCTGTGAATCAGGAAGCAGGCTCTCACCAGACACCAAATCTGCCACTGCCTTGATCTTGGACTGCTACCTTCCAGAACCATGAGAAATAAATGTTTATTGTTTATAAGCCACCTAGTCTATGGTATTTTTGTTATAGCAGACCAAACAGATGAAGGTAAAGACTAAGCCAAGGAACACTGTTTCACTCTGAGTGTGGAACAGATCCAGTCTGGTCCATCTCCTTTGCAGAGTAGGCTTGAGAGCCCACAAAGTCCATAAAACCTGACACTTAAATGTTTATGGTTCCTTGAAAGTATCTTCAGTAGGCTAAGAACATTTTCTTAAGTTTTGGATGATGATCTATAAACACATCCATATGTTTGTTGATGATGGTTCAATGACTATAGTTGCTGTTCCTCTATTAAAAAAAAAAAGATTCAGGGTTAACACCAAATTTTCTTCTTTTAAATGGAGGTATTTCTTGTCCTTGCTAGCCATTTATGTCTCCAATTTCCCGAGAATATGGGAAATTCCCCAAAACACTCTTGTGGTAGATCGTATTTTTCCAAAGATTGCTGCAGTCAAATATACCCCATCTCATATGCTCTTATTACAATGTGACATTAACAATCCTCCATTAAGAGGTGGGATTTGTGTCCCTGCCCCATGAGCCTGGACAGACCTCCATAAATGCCTCAACCAATAGAATGTGGCAGAAGTAAAATCATGTGACTTCCTGGTATAGTCATAAAAGGTGAGACAGCTTCCACTTGGTTTTCTTGGGGCCTTGGGAGCCAAGCCTACATGGAGGAAGTCCAGCTCTCCTAAATCTGCCATGCTGGAAACATCATGTGGAGAGATTATGTAGAGATAAAGGTGTTCAAGGAGGCCTAATTGGGGACTTCCCTGGTGGCGCAGTGGTTAAGATTCCACACTCCCCATGCAGGGGGCCTGATCAGGGAACTAGATCTCACATGCCTGCTGCAACTAAGAGTTTGCATGCCACAACTAAGGAGCATATGTGCCGCAGCTAAGGAGCCAGCGAGCCACAACTAAGGAGCCCGCCAGCCACAATTAAGACCTGGCACAACCAAGACCTGGCACAACCAAATAAATAAATTAAATTAAATTAAAATTAAAAAAAAAAAAAAGGAGGCCTTCCTGTTCCAGCTCTCAGCTGTTTCAGTGTCCCCAACTCAGGCTCCAAATGTATGTAAACAAGCCTTTGATGATCCCAGCCCGGCCTTTGAACCACCCCGGCTGACACCAGGTGGAGCAGAAACAAGCCTTCCCAATAGGTCCCGTGCAAATTCCTGGGGACTCACAGAACCTCCGAGCATACCTGTAAATTTGGGGGTAACATTATACAAGACAGTAACCAAAGCAACCCTCTAGGGATATTCCTTGAAGTATAGCAAGGGCACTAGATTTGTAATCACATAGCCTGGTTCTGAATCCAGATCTAATCATCTCACTAGCAGAGTAAACTTAAGCAAGTCAATTTCCTTTCTGAGCATTACTTTCCTCATCTATAAAACAAGAGTAATAACTGCCTTAATATACATCAAAACATCGGGGAGAATATTTCCACACCTATGACAGATAAAAGTTCATAATAAAGAAACTGGTAACAAAATGCAATCGAAAATAAGCAAAATATATGAATAGAGAGTTCAGAGAAGATAAAATATAAGTAGCAAGTTACTGTAACAAAAGATGTTTAACTTTCCTAATCAGGTAAATGCAAAGTAAGTAATACTAAGCTATCACTTATCAGATTAGCAAAATTCTGCTGGTGGGTTGTGGTGAAAAGGATACAGTGCTCTGGCAACATGAACAGCTACAGTCTCTTTTGGAAGGGTATCTGACAATAGCTACTAAAATGAAAAACACACACATTCCTCTTTTCTTTTTTGCATGTGAGATCTTATTTCCCCCATCAGGGATCGAACCCATGCCGCCTGCATTGGAAGCGTGGAGTCTTAACCACTGGACTACCAGGGAAGTCCCCAAAAATACACACATTATTCAAACCAGAAATCTCTCTCTCTCAAGTCTATCCTAAAGAAATAAAAGTACCAGAACATAGAAAATAAAATAAAGTTGTTCTCTGCAGTATAGCTTCTAATGGTAAAGCATCAGGAAATAAAATCAAAGGTCAATAGGAGACTGAGGGGGGAATTCCCTGGCGGTCCAGTGGTTAAGACTCTGCGATTACACTGAAGGGGGCACGGGTTTGATCCCTGGTCGGGGAAATAAGATATTGCATGCCGTGAGGCATAGCCAAAAATAAAAATAAAAAAAATAGGAGACTGAGGGGATTGATTAAATGGTGGAACAGCTAATAATGTTAGAACAAGCTAGAATGAGCTATAGTATGGATCTCTATAGTATAGGTCTCTAGCCACCTCTACAGTACTGCTTCCCTTGTTCAGGATCCACATTCCCAGGAGATAGTTTCTGATTTGGCGGAGCCCGAGGAGCATGCCTGCCCCCTGAAGTGCAGAGAGAGGTAGCACCTGGCCACCTTGGCTTCCTTGGAGGAAGCTGGCCAGTACCTCCTTGACTATTCACAATGATGCTGCATAACTCCAAACAAATAATCATAACAACAAAATGTCAGGAAACGGCTTTAATCTATCTTGAGCTAAAAATTGAAAACAATTTTCCCATTCTTTAGCTATCCTTGAGTTTACCTGATGCCCCTTCAGCTGGACAGTCTCATTTCTTTCTCTGCTCCAATAGTACAAGGTTGTGGCTCCTCTTATTGTGATTCAATACACAGGGTGTTCGTGGTCTCCAAGAGTTCAGTCTCGCACTCACCTGATGCTCTCTGACACGAAGGACTGGTTTGTGGTTTTGACTGTCTCTGCTGTAAGTCCCATCCCATCAATCAATGGTCTCTGTTCAGCAAAAGCCATTTTGCATGTGTATAAAAGAGAAAATAGGCTTGAATGATCTTCCCCTTTACTAGAATCTCACTAGAGTGCTATACACTTTGTGATATAGGGATCAATCCCTGCTGGGAAAGATTACAATATTAACTTGCAGTGAATGATTAACATTGCCAAGCCAACTCCCTAATATTGCATAAAATAAAATGTTTTGGCTCCCCTAAAAATCAGTGTTTCTTATTCTTGCAAGTCTCAGCAGCCCAACTTGTTTTGCATATGGTTGCATGTTTAATTAGTGATCCTTCTGTAAGTGTCTGCAATTAGCACCATGATGATTAATAAAATAACTCCTTTAAAGCTCCATTTAACTAGCAGAACTGCACAATCAGGTGTAATTAATTCATCATTAATAAATCATGGCTGATTAACTAATCTGTATATTACCAACATTTTACTGAACAGCTCCCACGTGAGCACAGCTAATTTTTCTATGCTGAACAGAACTGGAAACTAAGAGGAAAAAAAAAAAAAAAACCCAGCTCCTCCAAAACTGCACTAAGCAGCTAGTATATTGGTATGGTCAAGGAGATTTTGAGATAATGCACATTTAAAGTTATTGAGCTAAACAGGCAATTGTCACTTGGGAGGGAAGAAAACAGTGGCTGAATACTAGAGGTTCTCAAACCTAAGTGTACACCAGGATCACCTGGAGGGCTTGTTAAAAACCAGATTTCTGGTCTCCATCTCCAGAGCTTCTGATTCAGTGGGTCTGGGATGGGGCCTGAGAATTTGCTTTTCTAACAAGCTCCCAGGTGGTGCAGATGCTGCTTGTCTAGGGACCGCACCTGGAGAACCATAGTTCTCCCTTTCTCATACCCTGGGGATGACTCACAATCGCCATGATTCCTATGTCCTTTCTGTAGGTTTTAATAGTTTAAAAAACAACAATAAAAATAGCTTACAGTATTATTTATCTATCCTTGTGTTTACATGCTATCTCTTCAACTGGATTGTAAGTTTAATAATTACTTTCTTTTATTTCTCTCAGCCCCCATAGAACCTAACTACCTTCAAGATGTAGAAACTCTAAACAAAACCCAGACATGCCATGTGCATTCATCTCTGAAGCCTTGCTCATGCTCCAGTCTTTCGAAGCCCTGTCCTTCAACACTCCCCAGACTACGCCATAGCATTCAGTGTCTGCCATATGTGGACCCTAATCACAGACCAGTGCAAGTGCTCATTATCTTTTCATGAAAGGATGAGCCTGGTTTTCCCAGTTAGAGTCCCTTGAGAGCTCTATAAGCTTCCCCTCTAATCTCCTTTGCAGCCTGGCCCCCAGCTCTCCACCCCACCAGCTTCTAGCCCAGTGTCTTATACACAGGAGACAGCAAATTGCTTTTTACCAACCACGTCAGATTGCTGAGCAGTAGATCTGACACATGGGCTGGGAATTCAGATCCCAGCTGGGCACTGAACTTGCAGAATACATGGGAGCCACAGCAAGGAGAATTCCCACCCCAAAAAGAACTTGGAAAGAGGCAAGATATTACTTTTCATTTTAATTTTACTACCACTCTGTCACACATACATTTTAAAAAATTTCTGAGCTTTTTAGTTATTTAGTTACATGTCCTGATTTTTAGTTATTAAACATGTGTTCCAATGAAGAAAATAACTGTTTAGGTACATTAAAATTACTCCAATTTTACCCTCCACACGTGAACTCTTTTCACTTTTCTATCTTCTCTGTCCATATAAATTCGTATTCTCCACAGACACAGCATAACATTGCTAACAGTTTATACTCTACTGTGATTTTCTTTATTGGTATTGTATCATGAAATTTTTAAAAATATTTCCTCATAGTTATTGGGTCTTTTCAATGGCTGCAAAATAGTCTATCTGGTACTCACACCTAAGTTTAAGTGGTTTGATCTTACTCCTCATAAATTTGTTCCTCATTTTGTGATTGGTGCTCATAATCAAAGATGACAACATTATTCTTCGTTATTGGTTACTTACATTTCAAATATACTCACAGGTAGAGCCAAAACTCCATTAGTTAATTAGTCAGGAAGCATTATTAAATTTCCATTAATATGTCTTTGTTCTATGTCTAAGGTGAGGATTAAGTAGACTATTATGCAAACTTTATTCAAAGCAGCCCCTTACATTTCTTTCTACGTGGAAAATAGTAAGTCAAGATTGCAGCATCGCGCACAAGCGCGTCTAGGCCGTCAGCGTGCCCTCTAAAACAAGAGCAGCACGTCCCTTGATGTCAACTCGTCCATCAGGACGCAGGGAAATCTTCAATTCTCCTCCCCGGCTGGAACACTGAAACGCTAAAGAAAACATAAAACGAGTCACAAATTAAGATCATTTTCACCCTTTTTAATTAACAGGACATAGTGAGAGACCACGTATTACAAGCTCTAGAATCCTCCCAGGTCAGTTTAAAGAACACATTCCTTCAAACAAACAAAAACAAAATAAATGAACAAACCAAACACAAATACACAGACACGAACAGAGGGTGGTTGCCAGAGGCGAAGGGTCAGGGAGGGGCAGGGAGATCAAAATGGGTAAAGGGGATCAACTGTACGGTGAAAGATGGAAAATAAATTTTTGGTGGTAAGCAAGTTGCAGGGTATATAGAAGCAGGAATACAATGTACATGTGAAACTTCTATAATGTTATAAATCAATGTTACCTTAATAAAAATCAATTAATCTTAAAATTTTTTAAAATAGAATGCATTCCTTCATCTGTGCATGGTATTGCCCAGCCCACCTCATTCTCCTGAGGACTGAGACCACAGACGCAATTTGATCCACAAAATACACAGCTCTACAGCTTCGCTTCCTGAGCCACTTCCTCTATTACTTCCTGTAATGCCCCAGACATACCCAGCCCATATAGCATCCTCCCTGGCTCTGTCCAGAAGGCAAGCACATGTGAAAAGACAGAGGCTAGGACTAAAAGTCTAAGAAGATAAAGAGGGGTGCTCTTGGCCCTTCTGAAAAGGCCCCACCTTCCGAGGTCTGAATAGGACAAAGGGAGTTCTTTACTCATTGTGGTTAGCAAGCAACCACACTTGTCAGGCAACCATGAGGCACAGCCTCAGCCTTCCTAAGTTCAGAGGAGTAATCAGGCTCACCAAAGAAAGAGAACAGCCACCGTGCTATTCCCAAATCAGGGTCACAGAGGCTTAACCATCCCACTAAGTAAGAACCTCCATCCTTTAAAGTCAAACTCCTACTTTGATTGTGTAGCCTGTACCACATACAGACTACTAGCTGCGTAGTACTAGCTGTGTAAATTCCACTGGCTGCCGTTTATTTTCTCTGCCTCAAGCAATATGTAAATCACTAGGAGACTTGGTTCCAAAGCAGTTTGTTTGATTTAATCTCATAACTAGCAATGGCAGTAAGGAACCTTGGTAATCATCCAGTCTCAACTTGTCACATTATAAATAACCTTTCTGGGTCAAAGTGATACAGCTAGTTAACTTTATTCAACAAACATTTATTGGGTACTTACTGTATTAGAAGTGTGTCCTTGTGTTGGGAGAGACAGAGGTGGAAGATGTTTGGGGTGGAGGATGTTTTGAGTAGAAGGTTCAGGGGGAAGGAATTCGAAACCTCTCGTTTTCACGTGGGTGACAGTTAACATTTTATTACATCTCCAAGTGGATAGTACATATGAGAAGAAATACTAGCTTCAAGTTAAGCAAATTTTTTTAAATTTGAAAAAGAGCTGTCCTACCGTGCATGGCTTTCTTCCCCAGTTGCTGGGACCAGTAGCTGCTGAGAACAGTATGTGCAGACCCTTAAAAGAAGTGAAAAGTTATGGTACAATCCCAAAGAAAACAGGGGTAACTCTGTGCTAAGTTCATAAACAGTCAACTACCCAGTCTGACTAAACCTTAGATGACTTAGTCATTATGTTGGCCGTGGCCACAGCCAAGTGTGGAATTAAGGATGGAAACAGAAAGGAAGACATAGAATTTACGGATAACTCCTCCAATCAATGTATCTGCTGTGTCTTATACTTTCTGAAGGCTGAATTAAACTGTAGGTTTTAATTCTTGTCTACCAGTTCATTGTCAGCCCATGGTAGAATCAAGGTCTTCACATAAATCTGTCTACATCTTTCAAGGGAAAAATATCTCTTTCTTCTTAGGACACACATGAAAGAAAAGGTGGAAACTCTAACAAAAGGCTATATTTCCCACCAAGTCAGCATTCACAGGTTTTCAGTGCCAGAAGAACTTTCTTTTAGTGAGGTATTTTTTCATATGATTGTGCCCTAGGTTTAGATCAGAGAATAGATATTAAAATGAAGAAACAGGGTTTCCCTGGTGGCGCAGTGGTTGAGAGTCCGCCTGCCGATGCAGGGGACACGGGTTCGTGCCCCGGTCCGGGAGGATCCCACGTGCCGCAGAGCAGCTGGGCCCGTGGGCCATGGCCACTGAGCCTGCGCGTCCGGAGCCTGTGCTCCGCAGCGGGAGAGGCCACAGCACTGAGAGGCCCGCATACTGCAAAAAAAAAAAATAAAATGGGCTTCCATTTAATTTTATTTCTTTATTTACTTCTCACTGTTGTGGCCTCTGCCGTTGCGGAGCACAGGCTCCGGACGCGCAGGCTCAGCGGCCATGGCCCACGGGCCCAGCCGCTCC